GTCCCAAGGACCGGCCCATAGATTTACACTGCTCTCCTCTCCTCTGCCTTCTGTGCATCAGACACTGGACCCAGATGCTCCTCCTCTTCCTCATCAGCCACCTCCAGACCTGGGGGCTGTTGACCCTCCATCTGAGGGCTGACGGAGGGCCCATGTTCCCCTCCCTTCTCTCTCTCTCTGCCAGCCACATTCCCTCTCCCCCCTCGGAGCTCCCAGATTGCCCTGATGCTGAACCTGACTCCCACGCCTCCTCCACCTGTTCTGAATCGGCTGCCAGAGGGGCCGGTGGCTGACAGGATCACCACGACACCACCAGAAGTAAGGAGAAGAGCTGAAGAGCCTCGCTCACCTGCTGCACAGCTGTGTATTTGACCGTGTAGGAGTAGTCGTGGTTGTCAATGATCTCAAAGTCACGCACCACCTCGCCTTTGGTAGCGCCGACAAAGTGGACGTCCAGCTTGGCTTTGCCCGCCCCCTTGGTGAAGACGGTGAAGTGAGTGGGCTTCCCAACCTCCACGCCTGGGGAGGAAGCGCGGAGAATGGGGGTCAGATTTCACCTTTCCCTGGCTTGCAGGAGACACGGCGTGGCGGCCACGTCTCCAGGGGACCCAGCTTGGGGGGGGGGGCGCTCTGGCCTTTCCGCAGAGCCAAAATTTGCACCCTCTTTGAAAGAGGGAAGATATAATAGCAGTGCTCCAATAGTTAAGTGTTTCATAAAGAACAGAGCAGAACAGAATAACGGAAGGGACCTTGGAGGTCTTCTAGTCCAACCCCCTGCTTAGGCAGGAAACCTTCTACCACTTCAGACAAATGGCTATCCAACATCTTCTTAAAGACTTCCAGTGTTGGAGAATTCACAACCTCTGGAGGCAACTTCTGTTCCACTGATTAATTGTTCTAACTGTCAGGAAATTTTTCCTCAGTTCCAAGTTGCTTCTCTCCTTGATTAGTTTCCACCCATTGCTTCTTCATCTACCCTCAGATGCCTTGGAGAATCCCTCTCTCCCTCCCTCCTTCCTTCCCTCCCTCCCTCCCTTCCTTCCTTCCTTCCTTCCTTCATTCTTTCCTTCCTTCCATAGAATAAAATAGAATAGAATATCAGAGTTGGAAGGGGCCTTGGAGGTCTTCTAGTCCAACCCCCCTGCCTAGGAAGGAAACCCTACACCGCTTCAGACTAATGGTTGCCCAATCCCTTCTTAAAAACAGTGTTGGAGAATTCACAACCTCTGGTGGCAAGCTGTTCCACTGATTAATTGTCCTCACTGTGAGGAAATTTCTCCTCTGTTCTAAGTTGCTTCTCTTCTTGATTAGTTTCCCCCCATTGCTTCTTGTCCTGCCTTGAGGTGCCTTGGAGAATAGTTTGACTCCCTCTTCTTTGGGGCAACCCCTGAGATATTGGAAGGCTGCTATCATGTCTTCCCTGGTCCTTCCTTTCATTAAAAGAGGTGGGGGGTGGGGGGTATTAACCTCTCCCCCAAAGCACCTAAAGGCAGGACAAGAAGCAATGGATGGAAACTCATCAAGGAGAGTAGCAACCTGGAATTAAGGAGAAACTTTCTAATAGTGAGGACAGTGGAACAGCTTGCCACCAGAAGTTGTCGGTGCTCCAACACTGGAGGTTTATAAGAAGAGACTGGATAGCCATTTGTCTGGAATGACATAGGATCTCCTGCTTGAGCAAGGGGCTGGACTAGAAGACCTCCAAGGTCCCTTCCGACTCTGTTAATCTAATTATCACAGGAGGTTTTCAAGAAGAGAGTGGAGAACCATTTGTCCGAAATGGTAGAGGGTCTTCTGCTTGAGCAGGGGGTTGGAGACCTCCAAGATCCCTTCCAATTCTATTATTTTGTTAGGAGCAGGGGTGAAATTCAGCAGGTTCTGGAGAACCGGTAGCGGAAATTTTGAGTACTTCAGAGAACCGGCAAATGTCACTTCTGGCTGGACCCAAAGTGGGGACGGAATGGAGATTTTGCAGTATCCACACCCACCAAGCCACGCCACGCCCACCAAGCCACGCCACGCCCACCAAGCCATGCCACACCCGCCACGCCACGCCCACCAAGCCACGCCCATGAAGCCACGCCACGCCCACCAAGCCTCATCCCTCCACGCTCACAGAACCAGCACTAAACAAATTTGAATTTCACCACTGGTTAGGAGGATATCCACAATTTCCTTTTTTTGGGGGGGGGGTCACTCACCTGTCCGATTGAGGCCCGGCCCCTCGGCCTTCACTTTGCTGGCGTCATGTGAGGGGTCCACTTTAATGTGGAAGGGGCTGATGGGGATTTCCTGCAGGGAACCAGGAGAAAAAGAAGATGAATCAGGGAGGAGGGTACCAGGATGGGCACAAAACCTTAAAGTGGGGGGAGCTTATTCCTTGGCTCCTCTGTTCTTTTTCCATGGTTAAATGGATCAGGATCATACATGAAGTTGCAGCGTAGAAGGTTGATCGCACAAGAATCTGGCCAACTCAAGTTCAATAATAAATTGGTGCCAGGTAAGAATCAACTTTATAAAACGATGCAAGTGGAATTACGACAGGGAAATAAAATGTGGAAGAGGAAATTTATTTTGATGTAAATATAAAGGTGGGAATGCTGGAATGTCACCCCCCCAAAAATCCTTCAGCAAAAGAAAATTAAGCAAGGACAACAACGGAAAGAGGAAGGAAAAGAAGAAAGGGGAAAGGAAAAGAAGCGAGGGAAGGGAAAAGAGAGGAGGAGAGAGGGAAAGAAAGTGACAAAATTAGGGGACCAGAGAGGAATGCCGTCGATATAGTTTACTTGGACTTCAGTAAGGCATTTGATAAGGTAGATATAGATAGAACCTACTACTAGATAAAGTAGAAGAATGTGGGTTGGACAGCATCACCACCAGAGGGATTTGTAACTGGTTGACCAACCGCACTCAACTTGTAATCTTCAATGGAACTGCATCTACATTGAGGGAAGTATGCAGTGGAGTACCCCAAGGCTCTGTTTTAGGCCCAGGACCCTTCAACATCTTCATGAGGGAATAAATGGGGCACTCATCAAATTTGCAGATGACACCAAGGTGGC